TTATAGACAAAATGTTTCAATATCTACATGGTGATGGAAAGGCTAATATTGACCATGAATGATAGGTCTATGCATTTAGAAAACAGGTCACAAACCTTATGCTGGCCATAGATCATGTAACTATAAAATTGTTTTTTTTTAACATGTTGTGTGGTCTCCGTGTCACCTGGACGAAGGGACCCCGTGTGGCCCTGAAACTTTGGCTGTATGTGACGCTATAAAAATAAAGTTGCACTGATTTTTTTTCATCTTCATATGGAGTTTTGATGACGCTTCTTCTCATTGTGAGTTGGATTGCTTGGTGCCATCCTTGCTGTCAACACAAGCACTTTCCCTTAAAGCTGTATAGGGTGCAGTTTAGGACAGCACCATATTGGAAGAAATTACATCTGGTCGTATTTGTATTGCTAAGTCAGTGTCAGGAAGTGTTATCTAGGCATCCCTGCCTGACAGCTCAGCCTGATCTTCAACTCTCTCTGGAGTAGCATCAAAGCTTTACCAAAAAAAAAACAGTCAAAACATATGCTTAGCTCTGTTTTCAGACAATAAAGGTCCAATGTCACACAGATGATGTCATCCCTCATTCTTCTTTGGCTGACACCAAGGGGGTTATTCACTAATGAGCCGAAGGATATAGCCGTAGCGTCGGCTAATCCTTTGACTCACTTCGGCCGCCTAAGCCCTTGGGTTCAGCTGAACTGAAGGGCTGTTTTATTTGTTCTCCTGGAATGACAGGCCACTGTCCTCAGGTCATTTAAGAACAGTGGCCTGTCATTGCATAAAAACAAATGAGCAGAGCAACCTGTGATGTCACTGCCGGCTCCGCCCATTTGTTTTCATTCGGCCGAGACCTGAGATGACCCATTTGACAGCTGCTGGCCAAATGTAAACAGTTAGGCAGAGCTAGCGGTGATGTCACCACTAGCTCTGCCAATTTGTTTACATTTTGCCGGGTTGGCGGGCGCCGGGTATTTTATTTTTTTTATCCGGACGAGTCGTGGGCAGCACTGGACGTCGTGATTGACATTTGGATTACTGCGGTAGATCCACTATTTTAATTTTTTAATTAAAGGAATTGTGAAAAACTTTTGTTGTTTTTTTCAATTAAAGGATTTTTTTGTACAAGTGGTGTGTTTATTTACATTTTACTTTAACCCTTTAGTGAATGAGTAGGGGTACAAGTACCCCTTACTCATTCATAAGGTGGAGCAGCATCTTTATTAAAGGGGGTACCCAAATGCAAAAAAGTCCCTCTGCCCACAGACTCCCACAACCACCAGGCCAAAGTTGTCCTCATCGGCAAGGGAACAAGGTGCTTTTCCAGGGGCTGAGGGCATGTGGCCTGGTATGGCGCGGGGGGGACGACGACGCTAGCTCATCCCCTACTTTACTACCATGCCAGGCCTGTGCCCTGATTAAGGCTCTGGTTTGGAATTTTAGGGGGGACCCCACTTTTCCCCCCATTATTTGGAGTGGGGATCCCCCTTAAAACTCCTACCAGACCTAAAGGGCATGGTATGACTTTTGGGGGAACCCCACGAACTTGATTTTTTTTATTTTTAACTGGGGTCCCTACTAACATTCCTACCAGACCTAAAGGGTCTGATATGGTTTCTGAAGGGGACCCCATGCTGTTTTTTTTTCTTTTATCAACATGTCTTTTTTTTATTCTGTTCGCTAGCTGAGGTAGCGAACAGAATAACCAAGCGCATTTGGTTATTCACTCACTGCTATTTGGCCCCTATAAGTCAAATGGGTTATTCACTTCGGCTCAGTCGAACATGCTGAGCATGTTCAGCTGAACCGAAGGGAGACAAAGCCAGCTGATGTACGGCTGAAATCAGCCATACTCGGCGTTCAGCTCCCTTCACTTAAGCTCAGTTATTCACTTGGCTGCCGAATAACCCTCCAAGTCTAAACTAAACCTTGCTGTGAATTACAGGAGGCGGATATCAAGCCTGTTTAATTGTATAATCACAAATGCATTATTGCATAATTCCTTTTGCTTGTGTTTTCCTGTATCTGCTTGGAGGTCACGTTATCATCATTTACTTAACATTCAGGGGCATTTAGTAGAGGGATATAGGTCATTGTAATGCTAGGGCTCCCCCTCATGGAGTAGGTACACATTGCAGTCTAACACACGTTGCTAAAAGGCAGTAATTTGGGATTCTCCTGAAACTCTGTAAAGGAAAGTTTTGCTAAGGTAGAATTAGAAGCTGTCATTGCTGACTTATTCTGCATCTGCAAATGCTATTTCCTGGTTGTCATGCTGACCTTCTAGCTTCGATACTGTGAGTCATAGACCTAGAACAAACATGCAGATGATGAGTCATGACTTTACTTTAACTTTCCTGATCTGCATACTGGTCACAGGTCAAAAAGTGACTCAAAAAGTACTGAAGCCAGTAAATCAGAATAGTAGCCAGCAAAATTGGAATTTCAGAATGTCAGCAATGAGAGCCCCCATGTTTCCTCTGGGAAAGGTTCACTATTTTTAGCCACATTTTAATAAATTCGTATAATACTGTATAAAAATTTGATGTGTTAATGTCACAATGTCTGATAGAAACGGAAAAAGAGGTTCATTATCTACATTGCTTTGCTACTTACACAAGCTCAATACTTTGACATATGGTCACTAAACTAAGTGCAGTTTGCTCAGTGGTCAGGATTATATATAAAGTATAGCCCACCATACAGAGTGCAGTGGTCAGGAGTATGCAACATACAGCACGGAATACAGAATGCAGTGAATAGAATTAGGTGTTAGTTAGGTGTGATACTCTGTATGCACTGCTGGATGGTACATAACCCTTACTGTTGTATGTCGCACATTTGGCATACATGGCCCTGCACTCTGTCTACTGGACTGTATGCTCTTTTGACCCACGCACTCTGTACACTGGCCTGTACATGACATTCCCTATCACTGCACTCTGTACAAAACATACGCCTAAACTCTGCACTATATATGTTATATTATATTTACTGCAAGTGTTCATTGTCTCAGAAGTTGCTGGTTGCTAAGTAGTCCCTGACTATTTTAATGACATTCCTCTTTAAAGGAGAACTATGGGGTCAGGGCTTTTCCCCTTAGTTCTCCTTAGGGTAACGGGAGGACACAAACTAGCGTCCTCCCGTCACCCTAAGCTCAGTATACCGTGAGCTACAGCTCGCGGTATACTGAGACGCCGCAGCTGAAGCGGATCCCGACAATTATGTCTGGATCCGCCCAGCTGCGTGAGTGACAGCTGGCTCTGCCTATCTAGAGGCAGAGCCAGCTGTACCTCCCCCTCCCCCGTCCGTTCCGCCAGTCAGCGCTGGCAGATCGGAGCGGGGAGAGGGGAATCCAGCCCCTCCCCCTGTCACGGCAGAGAGCCGTGACAGGATCGAGAGGTGAGCGAACGCCGGTATGTGTTCTCTCACCTCCCGATCTACTGAGCCGACCTGTAACAGTCTCATTGTCACAGGTCGGCTAGAACTGTGAGGTGAGTGAAACTGTGATAGTTCTCCTTTAAGGCAGGTTCAGACAAACAGCTTTATGTTTTTCACTTGAAGCACAGTAATTAAAGCATATTTTGTACGTATAGGGCTGTGGCATATGTGTTCATGTATACAGCGAGTAGGCTCAGGTTCTATTTAAATGTTTTTCCTGAGTGTCCAAGGGTGCTCCAAGTCTGTCACAATCTTAGCAACACCCCTACAGCTAAGTGTTGCCAATTCCTAGAGAGCAGAAGAAAAAACACCAGTTCTGGTCCTCATTCGGTTGGTGACCTAAGAAGGTCAGTCTGCTTGACAGTTTTAAGAAAGGTTCCCCTGTAGTGTAATGCGCCCTGCAACCATGGATGATCGGCCTTTGGTGTTCGGCGTGAACCCCTGTAGACTAGGTCTGGAACCACTATACACTGAGGCATACTTCATTAGTATGTAATTGTCTATTTCCCCATGAAGCCTAAGGTTGAGAAGATTGGGGATCTGTGAAAGAGTAGTGAACCAGAGTGTTGGTCACAGGAGTTTTGGATCCACCATCAACAATTCTGAATAGTAGGCCCTGCAGCAGGAACTGGCTACACAACCTTCTGCAATGGGTGTTGCCTCAAACACAGATGAATAATACCATTCCAAAAATGTTTTCTTTTAACAGATTTTATATTATTATCTTAATGTATGATAGATAACCAATTAGTACAAAACTCAATTTAAAAACATTACAAAAATATACAAATTTCAATATCACAAGATTACAACAAATACAATATCAGTTATATTTGCATCCAGGCCATGGGGCTATTAGAGAGAAAATGTATACCAGCAAGCGTGTAACTATAGCAATAGCAAACCATGCAACTGCTATATGGCCCAGATACAGAGGCCCAAAGCTGTCCAGATGCACAAGAATTAATGCTGATAGCAATACATTTGACTAATACATTTGGATAAAATAAATGTACATATAACTTCAGTTATATAGCAACAGTATTGGCTTACAACAGCCATTGCCCTGCTCCTGATGGCACATTTTCAAAGCACAGAGAAGCACTATTAAAATGAATCGAAAGTGGGGGGAAAAATGCAGAAGGAAGCCCAGTTGTATAACTTGTCAAAGATATGGACCTAGCCTTTCCTCCAATCACTAGAGTAGTTGTCTTTTAGATGGAGATGGCGGTTAGGGGGCCTTAACAGTTTTGCTATGGGCCCCATTACATATAGTTATGACTCTGTACACCAGGCTGTACTGTGGGAGGCCACGCACACCGGCTGCTGTGTAGAATTATTTTTGGACTATACTGCACCCAAAATGGGAGCTTGTCAAGAAATAGTCATGGCTGCAGTTAGTTTTATGATATGCCTTGCAGATCTTACCCTCTCTTTAGTTCTGCCACTTGATTTACACATAAATGTAAAAGAAAGAAGGCAAACACAGTGTAAAGGTGTTCTGGCTTTTCCTGCTCAGCCACCCCTGCCAACAAATCCTACCCCATACATCATTTCAAGTGTATAGGGACTCCTCAAGAACTGTATAAAACCCAAGACCCTGGTGAGATCTGCTACTATAACGATGTCTCTCCTGTATCCCTCTCTGCTTTCTTCCTCTGCAGACTCTGGATAGTTTCCATCAGCTTCTGTATTTGTTGACATTGATGCTGTGATATCAGTGCAACCTGAGACTCCAGTTTGTGCTGCTGCTCCTGGTATTTCCTGCATGCATTCTTGTATGTGAGGAAAAGATTCCTGCAACCATAAAACACATAGCACCCACACACATATTAGTATGTATTTCCTATCCAGCTAACCCACTCATCATGACACATACCTATACCAATTTCATAATGGCAATGTCCGACAGGGGCTATTTATTTAAAGGGTCAGTCCACCCAAAACTCTTAAAGTGTAAGTAAAGTTTCCCAAAAACTTGCTGATTGACAGGCTTTCTATGTCAGAAGAGATGGTTTAAGTGTTTTCTGCAGTTTTTATTTTTTTGTACGCTGAGCCGTGCATGCCCAGCTCAGCACACAGACCCGGTATGCCGAGATGAAGTAACAATCGTGTGCATGCGCAGGAGTTACATCAAAGACTTGGGAGAAGATGGAAGCGCCAGAAAGGGAGGAGCGTAGACCTGAAGAGGATTCGTTTGGCAGCTAAGAATGTCATAATTCCTAATATGCTATGTATACTAGCACATTATGGCTAAAAGCTCCAGGGGGAGGGGTATTTTTTTTATAATTGCCTTTACCCCTGCTTTATGTTTTTGGTAGATTCAGGAAAATTTTAGTCCATTTCCAATTTTATTTTTACAATGGGCTCCTCCCCATATATATATATAGTACTCATGTTATCCATGTTTCTCCTCCCTGGTCCAGGGCTGGTCATCTTCTAAGCTGAATGATGTCCAACTTCATTCAACCCACTAACTATGAGCCAAGGGCATCAAGGACACACCCCCTTGGTGGTGCATCTTCACGCCAGCCTGGGCTCACAGGAGAACGCTCAGAGTAAGATAATCTCTGAATAGCCATTGTGCCGAGCAATAAAATCTCTGTTTTCAGAGCAGCAGGAAAGCCAGTAAGCACAGAGCAGTACCAGGTCCTTAAAGATCACAGCCAGCAATGTAATAGTTCCAGCTACTACAGTGCTTTACAGGATCCCCAAAGTATCACATATGCACATACAGATAACAATCACCTGTCCCCCATGAAATATCCAGATACCACACCCCTAAATGGATAAAGCAAATGTATACAAAGAACTATGGGATTTTTAAGGTGTCATACGATTACTCATGACATATGCGTAATGTTCAGCTTTAAGTCATTGGGGGACATGACTCCTATCTGCTCTGACTAGAGTTCAGCTTTAAGTCATTGGGGGACATGACTCCTATCTGCTCTGACTAGAGTTCATTTTAAGTCATTGGGGGACATGACTCCTATCTGCTCTGACTACACTGTCATTAAAGTGTACACATATTTTTTTGCCATTTCTGTTAATACCTGTGGGCCTTAAAGAAATCTTTGATTGTTTGTGCAGACTGGATATTCTGACCATGGACTTCACCAGCTATCTTGTCCAATTCTGACATCATGCTTTCAACTCGTTCTTTTGTTTCGCCGTTTCTGGAATTGCAAAAAAGAGAGCAAAGAAAACGTGTCACATACATCTACATACACATCACATACACACATTACAAAGGAGTCTGAATAGACAACTTCAGGTCTGGATTTACTATTAGGCTAAGAAGACTTGTGTTACCAGGGTCGCCAGTGGCGGCGCGGGTTCTCCTTCCTCCTGGCAGGACTCCGGGCGCCGGAATCGCGGGCACGCATGCACGAAATGCACGATACACAGGCTGCACGCGTGGCTGCACCACTTAGCGCCTTCAGGTGTTAGCCAGGCTGTGGGAAGTTCCCAGCACACATCATCCACCCCTTCGGCCCTGGTATTGGCTCCTGGATGGGGAAGCTTCCTGGTCGTCTCGGCAACCAGGGGGTGGTCCTAGGTTTGACTGGATATTTATTCCAGTTGCTTCTACCTCTATTGTGTGATCTCCCAGCCCCCTGTACCATGAAACTGCCTTGCCTCCTGACCCTTTGCTCGAACTCCCGATTACCGACCCTTTGGCCTTCCCTTCTGTTTTTGAACCGAGCTGCCTGCATCGACCCAGATTGAACCTGACTACTCTTTTTGGATTTCCCCTTTGTACCTCAACCTCGGAGGACTTGGCTTGTCGCCCCTGCCAAGGGGTTCCACTTACGGCCCAGCCGTACTCGCCTGACAACTTGTGCCTACAGACAGCAAAGGGAAAGAGGCAGTTTTTTTCTGTATAGTCATTGGCCACACATTTTTTCCATGCATCATAACTATTAATAAAGTAATCTTATAAAATCTTAATTGCACATTGTCACAATGTTTTATGTCAGGTTAGGAGCATAGCACTCTTCCATAGGATCAATTCACAAAGTTAACACACCAGGATAAGGATCATTATTTAAAAAAAGTGATAGTTATTCTCTGCTGAGCCCACTGAGATTTGAAGATTACAGTCACATGGGTAAAATAAAGCTTCTTATTCTTATGTTAAAGCTTTGTGAGTTGAACCTCATATGTTATTCTTCGGTGTTGTGAGTGAGGTGTTATTAATTACACTTATTCATGTTATGGCATACTAAATACATATTCTTGATCCACAGATATTCTGCTGGAAAGGCCCAGCCCCCACCCTACCCCTGCCAGGCTGTTGTATTCAGACAATGCTGGGTGTTAGGGATGCCACCTGTCCAGGATTCACCCGGACATTCCAGGTTTTGAATGCTGTGTCCAGGTTGTGTGGCAGCTGAGACACGGACACAAGATGTCGTCAGGCAGACAGGGGCAACTATGGGGCCATGGTGTTCCTGGTTGTAAACAGCCTCAGGCTTACACAGGACAGGTCTGCAGCTCTGCTCATCACTAAGTATGCCTGTGGACTGCGTTCTCTCCCCCTCCCTCTCTCCCCCCCACTTATTTTCCCCCAAACATGTTCTCCCCCTCCCTCTCTCCCCTGGCTGTCTCTCCTCGCTCTCTCCCCTGGCTGTCTCTCCTCGCTCTCTCCCCTGGCTGTCTCTCCTCGCTCTCTCCCCTGGCTGTCTCTCCTCGCTCTCTCCCCTGGCTGTCTCTCCTCGCTCTCTCCCCTGGCTGTCTCTCCTCGCTCTCTCCCCTGGCTGTCTCTCCTCGCTCTCTCCCCTGGCTGTCTCTCCTCGCTCTCTCCCCTGGCTGTCTCTCCTCGCTCTCTCCCCTGGCTCTCTCCTCGCTCTCTCCGGTATACTCAAGAAAAAAAAACTGCAGCGCGGCGCTATAGTGTTCGGGTTTCGCTACTGGGTGTGCTGCTGTGAGAATACCTAAACAGTGACTATAAAATCATGCCATTATTTATTTCCCATAAAAATCCAGTGACAGCTTTTTAATTACCAGAATGCAAACGCAATATTAGGGAAATTATTAATACAAGATCTGTTAACTGTGGTTGAGAAGTAGATTTGAATAACACTGCTTTAGTGCCCTGTTATTTATGTAGTATTCAACAATGATGTTGTGTTTAAACTATAAATTCTACTGCAGGTACAATTAGAAAAAACATGTATCTTGTAGGCCAGACCTTTGCGTTGCATTACTGCATTCATGTTAATGTTCAATTTGCCACATGGTAGCGTGCGTTGTGGTAGGACAGCCCATTAATTGTGACTGCATCTTAACAGATCTTTTAAAGCACTTTTTTCCAGCCCACCACATTGCACAGTTCACATCTAAAGGTGGCCATACACCTTACGATTATCGGATGGCATTTTCGTCCGATGATCGAACCGTCGTACGATAGTCGTACGGCGGCCCCATTATGCCCCGATTATCGCAAGGTTCAATTAGCCGTAATTAAAGAAAAGCACCTGGACGAATTGCGGTAATCGACCGCACGTATTTTCGTTTGCGCATGAGCAGTGTAGATCGTACGATTTTTGACGTACGGAAACGCCACTAACCTTGCGAAAATCGTACGATCGACCAAAGTTTTCATACATGCTTGAAAGTCAGAAGTCGTACGATTGTACAGTATTTGCGGTTGTACACTGCCCATACACCTTGCGATTATCGGACGAAAATGCGATCGCATACGATTATCGTACGATAATCGTAAGGTGTAAGGGCACCTTAACTTCTGAGCATTATAGTGCACTAAAACTCAAGTCAGGTGTGTTATGAGTTGGGGAAAGGGTGTTGGAGTGCAATGCAAAATGAAGGCCACAACAACACAAAATTATGGACCTGTCCATCAAGGACTGTTGTTATATGGACACTGAATACTTACAAAAGAAATACTGTACATTCTTTTAAAAGCACAGAGGATTTTAACACAGTGAAAAGTTAGCATACATACTGTTTTAAAGACTCTAGTAGTTGCTGCATAACAGGTGAGGATGGTAAATTCTTGCTTTGACTCTGTGATACTCTTTCACAACCCATGTGCTTCTTCTGCAGCAAAGACAAATTATTTTTCATTTACTGGTGATGAACAGAATACATGCATGCGGTATGTTTATTTTGTAAATTACAATATATTGATCAAAACCTTAAAGAATAAGTTTACTTTTACCACACTTTAGCTCATTTAATATTTCCAGGCAAATACTGCAAGTTTGCAAATCCTATCATTCACTTTTTCTTTACTTCTGTTGTCCCTTGAGAGAAATTCATGGATCCTAAAAGGTAACCCGTGGCAAAGCTACAGGCAGCATATATCCAATCAAGTGAGCAAAATGCCCTACAGGTCTCCAGGTTGTTTAAACTGAACAAACACTACAGCAGCTAATGAATGAACACATATTCACTAATAATCGCAACATAACTGACATTCCTGTAACAGCTCACTTTTGCCAGAGACCACAACTTAAGTTACCTCTGTGTGATGGTGCAGAAGGGCAATTTTAAATCACAAAAAGAGAGATTGGCGTGAGAGTGAATTCAGGTATTCTGAGAGCAGTGAGCGCTGGCTGTCAAAATACAATAGCCCAGTTGGGGAAAATTACCCATCCACACTGTTTAGCATGGATAGGGGAATCCATTAAAGGGTTATTAAACCCTCAGCGGTTTTTGCATATATCTACTGGTAGCAAGCAGTAGATATATGCAAAACGATAAAAAAAATTCAAAGGGTTATTGCTTACATGTGTCTCTTCCGCGCGCTCCCGCCCGAGCATCTGAAAATGTTCACGGGCGGCCGCAAAGGATCTTGGGGCGGGCGCATGCGCAGTTCAGATGTTCGGCCGGGAGACGAGGAGAGACACAATGTAAGTCTATGGAGCAGCGTGCACCCACACAGACACCGTGGGACATCAGAGGAGAGGAGGAGGACAAGGAGTCAGTGCTGGATCGGAGACCTGCAGCAGCACTGAAGGGACAGCTAAGAAAAACAAGAAAGAAGAAGATGGGATTAAGAGACATCATTTAATGCAAGTCCTTGCATTAGCATTGTGGGGGGGAACGTTTGATTTTAATGTCACTTTAAGTTTGTTTTATTCAGCCCACAGTCTGAACAAAAGATATATATTAAAAGATCAATTCACACCAGTGTTGCGGTAAACACAAGGCGATTTTAATGGGACCCCAATTAACTTCTCAGTGGGCATGCATTGCAGCACAACGCATGGTGCCGCAATACCGTGCGTTGCATTGTCACACAGTAAACAAAAGTAGTGTATGCATTACTTTTTTTACCGCATGGCAACACAATGCATGGTAGTGAGGTACTGCTCTGCAATGCTGCATACCCCCTAGGAGGTCCACTGAAATGAATGGCAATGTATTGCCCCAGCGCATGGTACCAAATGCTAGGTGCGATAGCATGCACTAAATGCATGGATTTCCATGTGTTTAGGGCAACGCTGTGGCTTCAGGACCCTTTCACATGACCGCTCCAATCGGGTCCACCTGTCAATTTTTTTAGGCAGACTCGATCGGATGCCCAGCGCAAGTCTATGGGCAGGCGTGTGTAAATGATGGTCCGTATACACCTGGTTACCCCCTGTTCCGTTTCGCCGGACCGGATTGTGCCAAATCGCGCTGGATCGTCCGTTTACATGCGATTCCCCATAGACTGGCATGGGGTCTGGGAAATGCAGTTTTTTCCTCCATCGCAAGAAAAAACTATACGGACACAGATGTCACTATACTATACTATATAGTTATACTATACTATAAAACTATACGGACACAAAAAAAATGGCATCACCAAGAATCCAAACTTCTTTTTTCTTTGGGGTATAATACTCTTCAGGCAATATATTACGCTGTTCCTTTGTACTTTACCAACAGACACACCTGTTCATCCTTCATGTATTGGGCAGAATCCTTCTCTTTGTTCATCCACTCACTCTGCTCCAACTGCAGATGGTCTCTGATGAGCATGTATGCATTCTCATGTTCTTGGGTTAAACACTGCAGCTCCAAGGCTCGCTTCTCCGTCTGTAGTATCTGAAGGCAGGCCTTCAGCTCAGATAGCCCCTTCTGTGGAAGATAATTATAATGATTATAACTAAATCACTGACTGTCTAATAGCCAAATATTACATTTCCTGATGTACAGAATAAATATTAAGATGGAATTAATACAACGTTGCCATTTTATATCTTTTCTTGGCTGTGAGATTAAAGTAGATTTAAACCCTAACTGGAGTGATAAAGTACTGTGTATCATAAACAATCAACATTCTTTTTACCCATTTTTTCATTTTAGTGCTGCTGATCCTATCCAGTCTCTTTCAGTCACTTCCTGTCTACATGCACTTGCTTTAGCAACGGTTGAACATCATTGGGCCGGTTTTCTGATATTGATGATGGTGGATCATGACTGTCATCTCCACCAGGCATGCTTGTGACAAGTTAAAGGAGAAGTACTGGGAGAGTAAAATGTACTCTTCCCAATACTTGCAGGTGTCACATACCAGCTCTATAGATCTAGAGTGATCACAAACCGCTGATCACTCAGTTCATGCAGTGCAGCTCGGCTCTGTCATATAGTGGGCAGTAGCCTGCTAAATGCTGACCTGGGGCCACAGGAGTACATTAGTAAATATACTTATTTGACCCAAAAGAGATATAAAGCCAAAAAAAAGTTTTGACTTTGGTTCTCTTTTAACAACACAGAAGCATAACTTATCACCTGATACAAGGAAGTGCCTGAACAAGGAAATTCGGTGTAGGGCCGCCAAGCTTTATTTGAATAAAAGCTGCATAATTATTGTGCGTGAAAGGTCCATATCAAACAAGCGATCCTAATGCTTGCAACAACTCACCAATGACATGACTGCTAACAGAGACCTTTAATTTTTGCTATGGAGCCACTTTGTCATTAGCCAGGCCAGCAAGCTGTTGCTTCTTGGCTAGTTCCTTGCTAACAAGTAAGATTCAACAGAGTTTCCGGCCATTGAGAAGTGATTCTTATTAAGCTAAGTCTCTCCTGTGATTCTGCTGCTGAAAATGTGCTGTGCAGCAGGATGGACCATGTGACATGGCCCTAAATGATGAGGAAAAATATAAATGAAGGCATGTGAAATGATAAATGTAACAATAGTGAGATCTGAATAACCCCCATTTCTCCAAAATTCAAAAGTCGGTAACAAGGCAGTCCAATTAAAATCTCCTGCCTGTGCTTTGCAGTCATGAAGTCAACACATTTGACAAAAAGCAGTCACTTTTTTGATGCTGGGGGATTATAGAAACAGAGACGAGTGATGGCAGAAAAAGACCAACTGGACCAACAGTTCTGATTTTAGTTTTCTTTTCTTTTTCTTTTAGTGTTTGGTGTGATTATAGACCTATGTTCTTTCCAAGCATGTTTAAATTTACTTACTGTTGACTACCTCACTACCTCTGCTGAAAGTCTGCTCAATGCATCAACTATTCTTTCGGTAAATAATAGTTTCTAAAGTTGAACTTTGCTCCCACTAGTTTGAGGTCCCTGGGTTCTCGATCTTAGCTTTACATTGAAAATACTTCCCTCTTAAACTTCATATACACCATGTACAGTATGGTGGAAAGGTTTCAAACATATCCCACTATTCCCTTCTTTCCTCTAGTTCTGGGAAAAAAGATTTGGGGGTGCTTACCTAGCCTATGATCTTCAAAGGACTGCTGATGAAGCCCTGTTGTAAATGGTCTGGTTTGCTGTTTAGGAATACACATCTGTGAAGCTGGGTTACTGACCTAGAACTAAACTTTCAACATTCATACAAATTACATCATTCTTACTGTAATGCAGTTTCTTTCTTAAAGGTGGTTAACTTAATTTACATTAATTTAGAAGGAGATACAACTAAATTACAACATCCAGAAGGCTAGTAAGACACTTTAGACGTCCTAGGAGAAATACACATTCAAATCATAATTTTTTTCTGCTAAATACAATGCTGGTTTACGGATTGTCATATGATATTTACCGTAGATGTACCCAGGATAAATTGGCATTAAGGGGGTTTCCTCTGGGCATTATAAAGCACACCTACAACATACCCCTCTGACCTTTGGATTGGGTGGGGCAGCTCTAAATCAACCTGTCTGGGGAACAAGAAATGTATCTGCACAAGCAGCTAGCAGCTCACGTTTTTCAATGTAGAGATTACTGAGAGTCACTCTAATAAGGCAGTGACCCTTGCAACATCAGATTGGACTTAATCAGCAAGTAATCCACACTCTGCACTGTACAAAAGACCAGGCGGACTCTACTTAAGTACATTTAGCTTTTAAAGTTTTTTTTACTGTTTCTTGCAGTGTTTTTCTTTTCAATAAATAATATTTAAAAATCATTAGGATGAATCTCTGAATGCTCTAACGAAAAATGAAGGAACTCTGCCTCTCTGAAGAAGCTACCGTAGTATAAACTCTGTTACAGTTCTGACTGGGTGTGGTAGCAAGTGCTGGGAGTATGTAAACAACAATATATATCATATATGTATATTTTAGGCTGTGACCAATAACTTCATCATGGCTTTGCATGTTTTGGCATTTTTAAATGTATGTATCTGTTTGTTTTTTAAAATGTTTGAATTTTGCCAATTCCTAAACTTGTTAATAGAAACTTGTCACTGACTAGGTAATTTGTATTGGTGGCTTGTACAGTACTTAGCATCCTACCCAGATAATCCTCACCAATCCCTGTTGTATATTTTGTTGTTGAATGTACTCCACATGATAAACCTAAAACTTGGCCAGCCTTTAGACTTTGCAGTATGATGTCCACAGTGCATCACTCTTTTGACATTTTACATTATCCTGATTTACCTTGCTTGTTTTAATGGAAGACTTCTTCTAAGAGTGGCAATAGGGTTTACATACTTTTAATAATAAATGCTTACTTACCTTAGTTTCCATCAATTCCTGCACAATCTGTGCCCTGGCAGGTTTCTCTGGCAAGCATGGTGAAGCTTCCACTGAGACCTTGATGGCATCATCAACCTTAGCCTTGATAATGTGTGCACAATGAGCAACTTCCCTTCTATGTGCAGTGTCAATGGACGTGTGCTCCAACACAGTAACAGATGACAGATCCCACTTAAGGGACTGGATATAGTCTTTTAGCATCTGTTCATCTTCTTCACTAAGCCAGGGAGCATACAGCCTAGAAGAAATTAGGCAAAAGGACAAAATCTGATTCTTCCCATCAAACATGCATATGTACATAAGTTGCATTCATATTCAGCGTTCTTCATGGGTCACCTTTGTCTGGACAAGGGGTTGGCATTCTGTTTGTACACAGAACATATGTACTCCATGAGGGAATGTGTCCATGGTAGGATTGCACCTTGTCTTTTTTGTTTGAAACTAAAAACAAGCTCAGTCATGAAGGGGTTAATTCACTTACTACCAGCCTTATCCATTTATGGCAGAAGAGACGGAAGAGGCAGGGAGCCACGAACAAAAGGACAGGGCCAGCTAACAAGGGCAGGACAATGGTGACTTGGATAGGTTTTAGGAAATATGTCTGATTGCTTGTCTTCCCTGAAAGCAACCTGCTCACTGGGTTTTACTTATCAATTTGTCAGAAGCATAACTTATCACCTGATAAGTTATGCTTCTGTTTGCCCAACATGGGCAAAAATAGCCATAACAGGCAACTATAATATCTATGGGTACCTGAAAATGAGTCTATACTTTGCTCATTCAGGCCCAGTACATGATTGGCCCAGCGCATGATTGCTATGACCATTCAATAGTCCTTCCAATCTCAAACTACTAAGTGTTAGATTAGGTTCTCTAAGCAGTCTTCTGAACTGCTGAGAGGCGCATTTCTTGGAAAATTCTCTGATGGATTCCTCTGTTTGTGCATTTTAGTGTGTTAGTGTGCTGTATTGCAAGTCTTTGCTAGATCTTTAGGCTGAATTCACTTTTGCAGTGCATTAGCACAAAGCACATTGACGTGCATTACGCATGTTAACACACATTGTGTTAGGGCAGACAATTCATTTGTATGGGCTCCCTAATACACTAAAACACATCAACAAAAACACATCAACAAACAATGTTTTTTTAAGGCAGTATGCTACAATGCATGGCAATGTGTTAGCGTGCTTTGTGGTGCGCTAAAATGAATGTGCATTGGCTAGGTGCACTGGGGTTCCATTAAAAATAAATGGCACAGCAGCACCCCAATGCGCAGCACATGCATTTCCACGTGTTCCCACAGCTTGGTGCACTTTTACTGTGCATTAACACAAAGCACATTGACATGCATTACTTTGACCGTTGATTTGCATTGTGTTACAGCAGCCCATTAATTTGTATACGCTTCCTAATGCACTGAAGTAAACCAGAAAGGTGCAATTATGTTTTTTCTTGAAAGGCAGCGTGCTACAATGCATGGTAATACATTAGCGTGCGTGCCTTATGGTTCACTAAAATGTACAGTATGTGCATTTGCAAGGTGCACCGCAGCACAAAGGTCTGAATTCAGCCTTGAACCATATGACTGCCCCTTCTTGCACAGCTTGTTTTACATATACTTTTCAAAAAGGAATATTTTCTTTGACTCCAATTGCTCACTTAATCTTTTTATTCAGTAGCTCTATCATAATCTGATTCTTCCCCAGTTCCTTTCAGGGTTTCAAATATGTCCTGAACCAGATGCAACATTAAAGCTCTCTTCTTATGCACTTCAGTTGCTACAACCTAGCATTAAAAAGCTTTTTCTCCACTTGTTCCAGTGTTGTAAAAGGAAACTAAGATCTCCAGAAACATCAAATGGTCATATTTGAAGTAGATCTAAAAATGTAGTTATTCTCATCGCAAATATGTAGTGTATGACACGGGTAACTAAAGCAAGCCATAGACATTGGGTCGTGTGCCTTATTCTCCAACTAGACAAAATTCTAACTGAAGCATACCTTGCACAAACTGAGATGAGATAAGCCAATGTAACAGTTTGTGTTGCTCAATTTTTCACTCATTGCTAGCCAATAGATAATACACTCGTAAAAAAAGTCATATATCTTATGCTGTTTCCTGAATTTGACCACCTCTGGTGTTGTCAGTGACAGTTCATGTCAGGGACGCCTATTATTTCCAAGTCCATGCAATAATGGCATAATGACACCTCTGGTTGTACCCTATTTTGAATGCTTGCCTTAAAAAGTAAAAAAAAAAAAACTATCAGCAAAAAGATTGCTGCAAACACAATAAACAGATGATGCACTAGGACCAGATCCATTTACATTACCTGTTACAACTTTTTTATTTCCTTAAAGTGATATTAAACCCTTAGGGGTTTTTGCTATTTAATATTCTAAATAAACATCTTAACTGATATGCCTCCTGTTATTTTTTTCCTGTGGTGCTTGTAATGTTCTCCTGTGTAGACTCTGCCTCCCCCTCTTTCCTTTAGCGGGTGTGTTCTCCTCACTGGTTCCACCAGAGACAACCATGTGTTCACATTCCCTGGTTTAGGACTACAACTGAATGTTGCAGCCTTGCCGCTTCTGTTCCTCCCCAGGAATGTGATTGACAGCTGCTCAGGCAGCTTATAGAACATGCAATCCCAAAAAACATGATGACGTCATGTCTGAGAGCATGCTCCCCAGCCAGAACTTATTGCAATTGGTAACGAGCCTAACTGAGGATGCGGCATAGCAAAAGTACTAATGTGGGATGTTATGCACATTCTTTGGAAAAAGTGCTTATGGATATGTTATTGATTATTCAGTAGTATTTGTTATGCAAAATAATACAAGGGTTTAGAAAAAAAATATAGCTACCCTTTACCTGTCAATTGCTTGGTCCTCTGTGCTTCTTTTTTCTGGTTCTATATTAAGACTTTCTTTCCGGAAACTTTTCCTTACCTCCATCATGAACAGCTTAGTTTTTATTTCCAAGTCTTTTGGTAGCAGGCTCCAACCTTTATGCAAATGGGACACACAGAAATGAGATTAGATATAATCCAATATTTTCCCAGGTAGAGGAACTAAACCATATCAACTAGTTACACAAATATCAGAGATAATGGTAACAGAAGTGGGTTGACACAGATGATTGTCAACATGCTGTTTGAGATTGTAAAGTTCATTCTCAATCGATAAATGCAATGCAATAAAATTTGTGATTCATATGATAGTACACAGGTATGTCCATGTGCAAAACTAGATACCCAGAACAGTCACACTGCTAGCTAAAGTATAACTCCAACATCTTTTTCTCTAGTTTTGGATAGTGTGTTGAAGTGTGAGAACCTCATGTGAAGTGTCATGTGTCCTCACTTACATTTCAGTAAGCATTGTCACCAGATGGAAAATAAGGGGAATCCCTATCTGGGGATCCAAATATCACTAAAAATGGGTTTCAACCTTTTCTTAAAATGTGTTTTTATTGCTGCCCGTGTCCCTGTCAAATAGATTTCCCTAAACATCCTGTCTTGGTACCCATGTGAATGGGCTTTTCAAATGTAGAAAATTACAGCAGTAAAAACTTGGCAATGGCTTTAAAGTGCTACTCCACTAACATAGGAAAAGAAAAAACATTTTGTTGGAGATCCACTTTTTTATTGTTGCATGTTGATTTATAAAAAATTGTATTACCATTTTATCCCGCCATTACATTTGAGACTTTTTTTTAACGCAACATGTATACTAATCTGAATTAAACCCTACTCCTTTTGCTAACCAGAAAGTATACTGTACTCATTTTACCAGGTTTTGAAACATAAAAGTGTGTGTCATGAGTCACCTACACTGCCTACAGCGTTGTGACCTGGTGGTGGTGCTCGTAGTGATGACCCGGATGGCACAGTGTGAAACTCCAAAATGAAGATCAGATAATAACCAGCACAGACCTTGGTGTGTGCTGGTGATTATTTGATCTTCTTTTAGGTTTTAAAATGTGACGTGTACTTCTGAAATCCCAATGATGTAATGAGCCCAATGGTGGGGACACAAGCACCCAACAACTGCATGAATGTGCAGAGCTGGAGAGGCCGCAGTGCTGGAATGGAGAGTAGGTAGAGAGAGGTGAGTATATAACCTCTTCAATTTCAGAGCAATGCTTAGCTAAGCATCCAAATTTTTTCATATATTTAGTCACAGAAGCTCTGTTGCTCTAAAAGATTGCAAGACTGCAACTTCAGAAACACATCAATGGGATTTCCTATGTGGTCATATTACAAAATCATTGTGCCAACACCGTGCTACAGATGCCTTTCACTTAGAATCACTTTGACCAGTTTGAATTGCAAAAAGCAGCCCAGAATCTCATAAGTTCAGCCCCTAGACTTAGGGGTATATTTATAACCAATTCACAGAGCCATTCACCCCACAAATCGCTTGAATGTTCGTTCTGTGTGAATAGATGCAAAAAACAGTTTTTAGATATACAGTATTTTCTTTTCAGGTTAAATGTACTATATGTAATGTAATACAGCATTTTGGCCTCTAGATTGGGCTGTGGAGCATAGGAAATAAACACTTATTTCCTATGCTTGTCAGCATCTACCTTAGTATCAGCTTCTTGCAGTCAAGCAGGCTGTAAAGAATCTTTAAACTGAGGCTGGGGAGCAAAAAGCAGCACAAGGAGACAACCAGTTGTGATGCAGTGCAAGGAGAGAGCAGCATGAGAGGGATAAGCTCACCAGTCTGCTGCTTCTCTGTTCACTATCTGGGCTGGGGAGGGACAAAGCTGTGAAAATCTCCAAATAAAATAGCAACCTTATATGAATGTCACCTGTGCATTTAGTTGTTTGCTTTGAGTTCAGCTGTAATGTTTGTAAGTTTTTAAACTATTATTTTATATCTGTGTATATATACTGTATGTGCTTATATACATTTTTGTTCTACAAATATAGATGTAAACCCAGAGCACTGGCTTAGTTAGGGCAGAAGCAGCCCAACTTGAGGCACTGACAGGCCTCCAACTAGCAATGAGTCACTGGGATTAGTCATTCAGCTGTGTGTAAGGTGCAGCATGAGCTACTGAACTACATAATCATTTTTTTTTACAGCGGATGCTAAAGGAAAGGCAGAAACCATGCTGAAACGTGTCTAAAGCATTTGAGTGTGTGTTTCTTGGGAATGTATTATATGTATCTAAACAAGACCTTGTTTTTCATTTTAAATACAGTATATGCATTAACAGCATGCAATAAATCAAAAGGAAACACTTCAGAAATAAAATTTGGATAACTGCAGTCCTCTGAAGAACAGTTTTCCTTTATACTGGTGCATGAGAAGGTTTTAAGCTCCTTACTCATTATTTAACATACATTTAACAACCACATGATAGTAAGCATTTAACATCACATCTATAAAATTGTTTTTTAAAGTGAATATATGTGTGTGGGTGAAAACTCTAATTATATTTTTATATCTAGGTAACAAAGGTAGCTGCCATTATTGGAAATTCAATAAAATTATTTTACCTGCCCGCAAGGCGATTCTCCTTAACTGGATGGCACCTTCTGTGCCTATACCAACACTTGGTGTCCTTGGTTAACCAAATTACTACATATGAGAAAGTTAGAAATGATAGTAGAAATAGCCCTTTCAAGTTCCAGAAGATCTGGCATGTCTTTCACACAAAATACTACGTCTTGATGTGAATATTTATTGGGTTTGTCTAAATATGATTTCGGTTTACCCTTTCTACATGTCAGTCTGCTTCATCGCTTTGGTGTACCCATTATTTATTAGGAGACATACAAGACAATTGCTTGTTGGTACTGTTTAATTTATTGCTGTTTATTGATACCAAACTTTTTGTAAGTGTGAATTATTACTGTGGCTTCTGCGCTTTCCCGAACAATCTACCTGGGTTAAAAAATATATATATTTTACCTGAATTTAAAAGATCTGAAGTTACTTGACTCAGTAGGATTTCCCCCTTTGCTTCAGCAAGGGCCAACAACACACTGTATGTCTTCAGGCATCTTTCACTGTCAAAATAGAATAAGGCAGAATGAGCATTGTCAACACATGTATCATTTTATCAATCATATAGCAAAAATGAATTTATTTTTTAAATTAAAATATATGTATAGACAAAACCTTTTTTTAGTTTTGGGTAGAATAGGGAAGGGTTAGAAGCTATGCCAGGTTTTTTTTTACATCTCTGCTCGAGTCGCTCTCTCTATTTGTCCTGGTGACCATTTTCAATGAGACAGAAAGTCATGGGAAACCCAACATTTTAGCAGTGGTGAGGGGAAATCTACCACTGGAGCTACTTTGATGTTTAACAGGGAAATTCAACCCACTTTGTTGAGATTTCCTATAACTGTCTGTTGTGTCTCTGGGACAGGAAGTTAAGAGAAATCTCCATAGTGTGGCATGATCAGAGTTACTGTCGCCCGGGGCAGGACAACATTTTACTCCCCCTCCCATTACACCCCCCCAAATAACTCAGGACTCTGCAACGCAAGAAACTCAGGACTCTGCAACGCAAGAAACTCAGGACTCTGCAACGCAAGAAACTCAGGACTCTGAGCATATACATTATTGAGTGGCCGTGCATACAAAGTAGGGATGCCCCGATACCATTTTTTCAAGACCAAGGACAAGTACAGGTACTTGCTGATAACAATTACTGATACTTTTTCTTAAAGGGACATGTGACATTTTTTTAAAAACAATACAGATTCATAATTTTAGGGCAGTTTCTTTATAATTATGAAGAACTGTAACTCAATCTATGATTATTCAGCAATGGAGAATGGCAACCAGCAATAGAGGACTACCGATCCCATCAATACATAATTATACAACAATGGAGAATGGCAACCGGCTATAGAGGACTACAAATCTCAGCAATCCACGATTTCTCAGCAATGGAGAATGGCAACCAGCAATCAAGGATTGCTGAGATTGTAGCCCTCTATAGCTGGTTGACATTCTCTACTGCTGTATAATCAATCAGGCACCAGGAAGGAAGAGATGTGGAGCCGAACTTGCGCTGTCAAAGACAGCTGCTGCAAGGTCCCCAGTAGGCTGCCTAAGGTTGCCAGCAAGTGAGGGACCTCAGGCAGCCGCTCTCGTTTAAAAATTTATGGGCCCACTATCAGCCTTTGGTAACGGGGCGAGTACAAGTACTCTTGAAAATGCTCTGTATCAGCCCCAATACCTATACTAGTGTCGGTATGGGAACATCCCTAATATAAAGATTAGATTATTTCTCATGGGTGGAGGTAAGAAGAATAGGGGGATCAGAAAAATGTCCTTGTTCAATCCAGCATATCTGTATCAATGGCAAACTGATACCATGGTAACAAAGTCTGGTACAGGGGTAGGCAACTCCGGCCCTCCAGCTATTGTAGAACTGCGAGTCCCATGAGGCATTGCAAGACTGACAGTTACAAGCATGACTTGCAGAGACATGATGGGACTTGTAGTTAGCTGGAGGGCCGAAATTTGCTCATCCTCTGTCTAGTAGAACAGAATTCAGATTTTTGGAAAAAAAGAAAATGTTTTGTTTGCTCTGCTGTCACCTGGCTTGCAGGGCGAGTCTCAAAGCTGTGCAAGTGGATTCCAGTTTTCCAAGGTGCATACTGAGCTTTTCTGAATCAGTCTTACATTCTTCTAGGGTTGCACTGAGCTGGTCATTCAGTTCTTTGACATGGTCAAGGTACCTGTAATATAACAACAAACCATAAGTAGTATACAGTTAGTGCCAAACGCAGCAGGACTTTAAGCTTCCCCAGTAGTATAAAAATGTGTCACGCTGTCTGTTAAGACACAAGGGCAATATCAAAGCCACCATGCTGTGACTTGGTTTCACTGAAATCATTTATAGACCACGGTGTCTGTTGGCACTTACCTTTTTAACCGTCTCATTTCAGTTTCCAGGCTACTTGAGTGGATATCAGAAGTAGAAGTTAGTGAAGACTGGGATCCAGGGAGACTCTGAACATACTGAATGACATTGTGCAGCACTCTCACAGGGCCCTGTACACAAAAACACATATGGTATATAAATAATGTTGGTTTACTAAAAAAAGATTTGCATAGCTTATTCATTCAGTGAAACTGCATACAAAATGAATTATGTGCGAGTAAATTAGGTGTTGTGAGAATGGGGTAAAAACTAATTTTCTTAGTGTAATTCTGCTTCTGGTCGAATGTTCTTCAATGGGAAAAATACAGCATTATGGCTGAGGAGGATGGAGCTGAGGATAATAGGAAATAAATACATGTAAGTAGGATGTAAACCCTTACTAAATGCCCTTCAGCTAGCGAAATGCTGTGCATCTTGGGTAATTTAGGAGTGGAGGAGGCTGATGTCCTGCTTTTGTCCAGCCCGTCCCTGTCCACATCCTGGCTTCAAAATATTATTTCCGAAGCCTGTGCCTGTCCATATGCAATACAATAATAACAGACTGCTTGTGTTTTTTCACTTCTGGGTGCATTTTTTAAAACAAAGTTATGAGAATTTCGTGATCGCGCTTATGTCTATGCTTCACTTTTGTGCATTGCAGTGCGGGGTTACATTTTCTTATGTGCCCTGCCTGTGTGCACAAATCTGTAGCCCCAAAAATCATTTATAGGACCAATATGTCCGCAACAACTGACTGATAGCTAGCACTTCAACTGTCAACTACTTAGCTACTTTTTGTTATTAATTGGGGAATTTTTCCTTTTAATTTTTGCAGTTTGAAAGAAAAAAGATAAGTGCAAGAGCATTGTGCACATAATTCACCTCTCATTATATCACTCACATTACCTAATCTGGTTCTTCAGAAATGGCTTTTTCCATAAACAGGAGTGCTATTACATTTAGTTATTGTCAGATTGTAATCATTTTGTTGCTGATTTGGCTGAGTTGTCATTTGGTTTCTCTGGAGCAATCTGTGGTTGTTTGCATCTGCCTGCTGCTGGGTGTGTCCTTGCCACAGAGCAGAGTAACCAATAGGGGATTGTTTTGAGTGTCTGTTTCTTCCTGGCTAATCACTGGAAGGTTCAGGCCAGTGGTGCATGCTGGGAGAGGACATACATACTTGGGCTGGATCATGTGAGCTCTCTCTTTCTCCCCCAGGCCCAGCCTGGTGGGGAGGCTGCTGCGGACTAATTGAACTGGCTAGGCCTGAAGCCTGGGGACTAGCCATATACTGACACTGAGGCCTGAGTCTGGAGGCTCAGTGGTCAGCTACTGATACTAAAGATGATCATGACTGATGACTTCTGAAGTACTGCTTTGCCAGGTGTTCTTTACACAGATTGCCGTGTCCGGCTTAAAGGTCCTAGTCTGTGAATGGCAGCAGTTACTCTGTTCTACTGATGAAGGAGTCTGCATCAGTGTGGATGTTCCTAGCTCTAACCTTCTCCCCCTGAAGTTCAGCAATAAAGATTCTCAGCATTTATCTCTAGTGTGGACTTCGCTTTTTCGGTCGCCACAGAGGGTGGTAAGTGCTATTGGGGCAGCCAGGTTGCCAAAAAATCCCCAGACAGGCTATGGAAGACCCGTTCATCCAGCAGCTCCTTAGGGGGTAAGCGCTACATGCTCTTGAGGTTTACAATATAAGTAAATAACAGACAACACATGGTAGATTCCAAAGAGAAACAGCATCTGGCTCCAGGCCAGGAGAGGTTTAATACAGTGGATACATCAAGTTTACAAAGTTACAAAAGTGTAGTGCGGGAGGTCCGCTTAGCCATATTGGTATCTCTTAACATAAAATCCAGCAAACTATTAAATACACCATCCTCCATCATCATTAAGGAGAAGGAATGAGAGTGTCCAGCTGATCTTTTTCAAATTTGCAGGGAACTTCTCCCCAGAGAGATGAAGTAATCCCCTGGTCAGTGCCAAAATGGAAATTAGAAAGGGAAAGTAAGAAAAGGCAGTGAAAGAGGAAGAAGAAGGGGTGCAAAAGAAGGGGAGGGGGGAGATGTCTGTCGTGGCAAGTCACCCTACAACTATGCCGGGGCAGCGTATAAAGACTTGCCACCCGGCTTCCCGATTAGCAGGGAAGCCGTCCCCATACTTCTCATCACTATGTGACGAGAAAGCATGGAGCCGGCTTTCTGGCCAATCAGGAAGACGGGCAACATGTAATGACGCGGCACTCAGCTTTCTGATTGCCCGGGAAGCCGGCTCTATGTTCCCTCGTCATGAGGTGACGAGGGAGCATGAAGCCAGCTTTCCGGCCAATCTCCTCGCTTTCTCTTCTGGCTGTCTCTCCTTTCTCTCTCCTTGCTGGGTTTTCTCTCTCTTCCTGGCAGTCTCTCCTCACTTTCTCTTCTGGCTGCCTCTCCTGTCTCTCCTCGCTTTCTCTTCTGGCTGTCTCTCCTTTCTCTCTACTGGCTGTCTTCTCTCTCTCTCTCCTTGCTGGGTTTTCTCTCTCTCCCCTGGCAGTCTCTCCTCACTTTCTCTCCTGGCTGTCTCTCTTCTCTCTCCTAACTCTCTCTTTGCTCATCCTCCTGGTTCCCTCTTCTGGCTGTCTCTCCTCACTCTCTCTCCTTGCTCTCTCATCTGGGTGTCTCTCCTCGCTCTTTCCACTGGCTGTCTCTTCTCACTCTCTCTCCTGGCTGTCTCTCCTCACTCTCTCCCCTGGTGGTCTCTCCTCACTCTCTCCCCTGGTGGTCTCTCCTCACTCTCTCCCCTGGCGGTCTCTCCTCACTCTCTCCCCTGGCGGTCTCTCCTCACTCTCTCTCTCTTGGCTGTCTCTCCTTTCTCTCTCTCCTGGCTGTCTCTCCTCTCTTTTTCCAGTGGCCGTCTCTCCTGGCTGTCTCTCCTTTCTCTCGCCTGTATATTCTCCCCCAAAAAATTGCCCTGCGACACTTGAGTGTTCGGGTTTCACTTGAAGAAAAGGTGGTAACACTGGCGCTGGTGGCTCTCTAATCAGGCGTATTATTATTATTATACAGAATTTATATAGCGCTAACAGTTTGCGCTGCGCTTTACAATAAACGGAAGATTTTTTTTGAGGAGGAGCAGGTGGTCAACAGTGTCAAAAGCAGCAGAAAGATCTAATAGCAAGAGTAGGGAATAGTGGCCTTTGCTTTTAGCAGTGAGTAGGTCATTAGTGAGTTTTAGGAGGGCGGTTTCAGTGGAGTGTAATGCCAGATTGTAAGGGGTCAAGAAGGTTGTGATCAGCGAAGTGGTGACTTAGGCGGCTGTAGATGAGGCGTTCAAGGAGTTTTGGAGGTGAATGGGAGTAAGGAGATTGGTCTGAGATTAATGAGGTTGGTAGGGTCCATTGAGGGTTTTTTTGAGTATTGGGGTGACCAGGGCATGCTTCAGAGGGGAGGGAAAGATTCCAGTAGAGAGTGAGAGTTTGAAAATGTGCGCAAGAGAGTCTAGGATAGAGCAAGAGGGTGACCGAAGTAGCGGTGAGGGAACAGGGTCCAGGGGGCAAGTGGTGAGATGGGTGTCAGAGAGAAGCTTTGTAACCTCCTCTGTGGTGACAGGGTCAAAAGGGGACAGTAACAAGTGTGATGGAGGGTCTGGTACATAAATAGGGGAAGGTGGCTGCACAGTGGTGATCTGATCCCGAATTGTATCTATTTTGTTTTTGAAGTGAATGGCAAAGTCCTGGGCAGTGAATGAGTTAGTAGGTGGTGGCGGTGGAGGACCAAGTAGAGAGTTAAAAGTAGAAAAGAGTTGGCGAGGTGTGGATGAGAGTTTGTTAATGAGAGTGACATAATACGTCTGTTTGGCAGTACGGAGGAAGAAATTGTATTTTAGGAGGGCAGCTTTGTACAGGGTGAAGTCTTGCAGAGATCTAGTTTTTCGCCACAGTCGTTCAAGAGTGCGGCTATGTCTCTTGAGATTTTTGGTTTCATTTGTTTGCCACGGTTGTACGGACGTGGTCTAAGTCTGCGAGTAGTGAGGGGAGCCAAGGTGTCTAGAGAGGATGAAAGTGAGCTGTTGTAGACAGAAATAGCCAGGTCAGGGCAGGATAGGGGTGACATTTTGTCATAGAGGTAGTCAGTATCAGAGTAGAGAAGGGTCGAGGTGGTGAAGGTTTCTCTGGGTGACAGTGTGCCATGTAGGGGGATTCAGGGTTGGGGATAGGGTGAGGGTGAAACTGAGAAGGTTGTGGTCTGAGAGGGGGAAAGGGGTGTTGGAGAGGTTGCAAGGAGTGTATAGGTGAGAGAAAACAAGATCTAGTATGTTACCATCAGAGTGAGTAGGAGTGTCTGACCACTGTGTTATATCAAAATAAGAGGTTAGGTTAAGAAATTGAGCAGAAACTGGGGTGTTAATGTTAGTAGTATTAGGCGGCTGCTTGCTGGGGCCTCTGCTGCTTCCCATTCGACCAACTGACAGCACCAGGCACATAATGCTCTTAATCCGCCCCCGATTCCTCCTCATCCTCACTGCCAGCATCCCAACCCTCCTTATCGTATTCCTCCTTTACCTCCTGCTGCCTCATGCCATTCCCCATGTTGGTGACAGGGATTGCATTTTGTGCAAAATAAAGGGAGCTGGTGTATGCTGTGGTGTAGCACAGAACACAAACTGCCAGAAAGAAGTGTTTGGCAGAGCTTGAATGAGGATGCTGAGTATGGGGGTGGTTTAAGGTTTTTTTTTCTGCTCCAGCAGCAGATACATTAAAAAAGACCCTAAACAACTCGGTAGAGGTCTGTGGATCGGCTCTCAGAAAAGCATTCAAAATATAATTCAGCCGACTCCTCATAACTAAATGGGAGGGGATATGGCAGGATTAGCTGAAGATGTATTTCTAATAGGGCTGGTAATGATTAAAATTTTCGTGTTCGCTTAATCGAAATTTTTTTGTGGAGCCACTTGGGGAAGGGGGGAGGAGTCCGGTGACGTCGATGTCCGTGACGTCACCAGATCGCCGACGGGACTCCTGAAAGCTGGTGGAGAGGTGAGTGTTTTTTCATTAGCGATTAAAATAATTTGGATCGATCAAAAAGTTTAACGATTAATCGAGAAATGAATCTTTAATTTCCACAGCCCTCATTTATAAATATATACATATTTTTTTTGTGTTTTTTTCTTTCCATAATTAGTTAGTTGTTTACCTGACAAGGCTGTAATGGAATGGGTGACTCAGATTCAGAAGTCACATTATACATTTCTTCAGAGCAGGGACTGGTAGGTGGAGAGATTTGAGGGAACAACTCATCATCCTGAAAAATGTCTTGCAACCTCTTAAACTGAAAAGAGAGAGCATTAAGAAGGGAAACGGAAGCACTCTAATGCCTGTTACAGAAATTGTGATAAGACAAAGTAGCTCTATTTATTTAAAGGAGAACTTACATATATATATATACACACACACACACACACACACACACACAGACACACACACACACACACATATATATATATATACAGCAACATATTTTGTGCTTACATGCAGACTCTGCTTCCTTTAAAGAGTCTCACAGAGCAACTTTGCAAACACATCATATATTGCTTTGTACTGTAAATGTAATTGTAAAATAAAGTTTTTATCAGAAACATAACAGTCTATTAACTTGCAAGTTTTGTAAAAAAAATTGATAGCTTATTTGTCCAGTGAAACTGCAGGTACATTCATTCTGTGTGAGTGTGAGTGTGTAGCTGCTGTGAAAACGTTTTTCAGTGGAGAAAATACTACAATATGGCCACTAGATGGAGGATCCTACTACCACATATTTATGTCCTATTACTTTCAGCTCCATCTAGTGGCCATAATGTGATATTTTCCCTATTGAAGAACTTACAACAAGAAGTATAATTACGCTGTGAACATTAGTTTTTTCCCCTATTCTTACAACAGCTGGTTAACTCACTCAGAATTAATTTACATGCAGTTTTGCTGGACAAATAAGCTATGCAATTTTTTTAAAATTAGAAATAGACCTCTAACAGTTCCCCTTTAAAAATAATTGTTTGAATGAGCCCTATATTTGATATACATTATATTGCCAAAAGTATTGGGACGCCTGCCTTTACACGCACATGAACTTTAATGGCATCCCAGCCTTAGTCTGTAGGGTTCAATATTGAGTTGGCTCACACTTGCAGCTATAACAGCTTCAACTCTTCTGGGAAGGCGTCCACAAGGTCTAGGAGTGTGTCTATGGGAATGTTTGACCATTCTTCCTGAAGCGCATTTGTGAGGTCAGGTACTGATGTTGGATGAGAAGGCCGGGCTCGCAGTCTCTGCTCTAATTCATCCCAAAGGTGTTCTATCAGGTTGAGGTCAGGACTCTGTGCAGGCCAGTCAAGTTCCTCCACCCCAAACTCGCTCATCCATGTCTTTATGGACCTTGCTTTGTGCACTGGTGCGCAGTCATGTTGGAACATGAAGGAGCCATCCCCAAACTGTTCACACAAAATTGGGAGCATGAAATTGTCCAAAATGTCTTGGTATGCTGATACCTTAAGAGTTCCCTTCACTGGAACTCTTAACACAGGGGCCAAGTCCAACCCCTGAAAAACAACCCCACACCATAATCCCCCTTCCACCAAACTTTACACTTGGCACAGTGCAGTCAGGCAAGTACCGTTCTCCTGGCAACTACTAAACCCAGACATGTCCATCGGATTGCCAGACAGAGAAGCGTGAATCGTCACTCCAGAGAGCACGTCTCCACTTCTCTAGAGTCCAGTGGTGGCGTGCTTTACATAACTGCATCTGATGCTTTAGATTGCACTTGGTGATGCAAGACTTGGATGCAGCTGCTCGGCCATGGAAACCCATTCCATTAATCTCTCTACGCACTGTTGTTGTGCCAATCTGAAGGCCACATGAAGTTTGGAGGTCTGTAGCCATTGACTCTGCAGACAGTTGGCGACTTCTGCACACTGTGCGCTTCAGCATGCTCTGACCCTGCTCTGTCATTTTCAGTGGCCTACCACTTTGTGGCTGAGTTGCTGTTCCCAGTTTCTTCCACTTGGTTATAATACTACTAAACAGTTGACCTTGGAATATTTAGTAGCAAGGAGATTTCACGGAACACCTGAATCCAATGATTTGGAGGGGTGTCCCAATACTTTTGGCAATATAGTGTATATGACCACTACATGAAGCATTTGCAAATCTGAATATTAAGAAAAGTAATCTAAGTATGAGAAAAGATCCATGTAAAAATATAACCTTACAATAAAAAAATCAGTATGTTATTATTATAGCTCAAATTGTGTATATATTCAGTATTATTACTGAATATATGCTATATTTCTCCTTTAAGTATCATTTGCTTTTTAGTTTACATCCTAGACTTTTTAAAGCAAACTGCAGTATAATAACAATTAGCTTATGTAAAGATTAAAGTCGGATGGTTTATGTCCTGTATATATTATGCCTTAGAATACATGTGCTATGGGTATTTTTCTTTTCTCATTCGGCTAAATGTATGGACCAGTGACCATGGTGAAACTATAAGGGGGTAATTATCTTCATTGCACTATAACATAACTCCAGGTAAATGTTTATCTAAAATCTGCTGGGTAACAAATAGTTAGGTATAATAAGGTGTATACCACCTTCCGGATCGTTGGCTATTCTTTACATTTTATAGTTTTATTCATGCTGGGAAATATAGCTTTAGCTACACTTCTGGCGCTCCAACAGGATACTTGTGGCTCTCCTACACATAAGCCTCACTGTGGTTTATCTGCCGCTCCTTTCCTCTTATTGATTCATAAAACCCTTTGTATTCACAAAATGCAAAGTGTTCTGTGGATGGACAGGGAAGGGAACAGTAAGGTTGGACAGTATGAAAGCTATTCTTCCCGATATGAATAACAATGTGAATTGTAAAGAACAGCCAGCTATCCAGGAGGTGGTATACACCTCCTTACATTTAACTATTTGTTACCTAGCAGATTTTCAATAAACATTTTTTCCCCGGTATTCTTCCTTATTATGTGGAATTAAACCTTATCTGTGGTGGTATATGTTTTACACTAGTTCGCAGGTTCTTTAAGCTTAACTGTGTATGTCTGTCATTACATTGGGTCTTTTTAGCTCTGCCATGATGTAACAGTAACGTAAATGAAATACCTTTATTTGTAGCATCTCCTTTTCCTCCGTGAACAGTTTGAGTGTGGCTCTTGACCTATCCAGTTCCCTGTCTGTGAGCCTAAGTTTGCCTCTTAGGACAGCATTATCCTCCTTGTAATGTTGGATTTCTGAATTTAGAGTCCTGGGATCTTCATTCAGAGATATTGTAGGTGCTATCTGTATTAACATCAGAGGAGGACATCACTCTTGTGAGTATATTACACTCCCACACCTAATACAGTATGTAAAACTGTACACATTCTCATACGACAGTGTTTTCAATTAGTCTTGGGAGCTGTAGTTTGATCTCACAGAAAAGGGTCCAGCAGCCTCGGATATGTTTTCTCCAGGGGATGGTCACCCCACTTGGCAGCAGAGAACAACTCATGGGGTTTGCATAGGTTTCCATATTCTTCTTACCATCAGTAATCCTTTAAAATTTAAATCAAGCACATAATGAAAATGTTAACTTCCAGTAAAGACCACACTGATCTGTAGACTCAAGATTTGTATATACTTAAGGCTATTTATCTCTCTGCATCCACAGGAACTAGGGTCGTCTTTAACGCAGGGCAAACGGGGCTGTTGCCCCAGGCCTAGTCATTGTTGTGGGGCCCAAAGCAGCTGCCCGTTGAGCCCGCAAAAGATACTCACGCGGCACCGTTCTGTTTACTATGTGATCGGCATCGTATAGCGTTTCTCCGCCTCTGCTGTATGCCACGTAGAGTGATTGCGTGAAGTGTCACGCGAGTGCGTTTGCCATTTGTTTTTAACCCTAGTAGTAGACAAGTTTTTTTGCATGCTGGTTGGTGAGTGCCCTGGAAACATTTTGCTGTTGTACTGTATAAAGCCCTTCCATGTGCACCTTGCTTTAAAGCTGGTGATAAGTTGATGAGTGCGTTTGTCTTTTGTTTTCCTTGACTGATTTGGTGCAGTGACACACTGGGGGCCTTAGCTGCCGTTGTGATGTGCAGGGTCCCTTGTGTGTCCCTGTGCCTTTAATGAGGTTGGGCTGCCTCCTGGCAAACCTGCACCCAATTTTATCTTTTGCTACATGTGCTCTAAGATGGAGACTCTCATAGATTAGAGTTAGGACTGCACTATATAGAAGCGCCTTGGCGAGGCGGTGCGGCTTTCACATATTCTGTAGAAGATGTGTATCTAAACCTCTGTTTTTAACCCTAGTGGTAGACAAGTTTTTTTGCATGCTGGCCGGTGAGTGTGATGGGAAACTTTTTGCTGTTGAAGTGTCACGCGAGGTCACGTCTCAAGCTAGGTCCTCCTATCTGCGGGGTGGGTAGGGGGCGGGGTATGGAGGGGGCGTGGTGGGATGGGATGGGGGTGCCCAAGAAAATGTTTGCCCAGGGTCCAATCATTATTAAAGATGGACCTGACAGGGACCCAATGGTTCTAGCATCTGCACCTTCTTTATGGCTAACATGCCATACCTGAGGCCTTACTGGATATGCTTATCGAATGAGGGTCAGGCACTATTAATTGATCAGCCCTACCAAAGTTAATATTTCAGTTGTAGGTAGATGGTGCTGGACTGAGCAAGTTTTCTGATATCTCATTGGGGTCCAGCAGTGAGATCTCCTAACCAAAGATTGATTCTGTTCTTGATACCATGGAGTTTCACTTATCCTGCTGTGTCCATAGTAATCACTAATTCTGCTGTATTTACTGTTGTATAAAACACGTAGAAATTTCAATAGGAAGAATGATACCCGCCCCTCCCCCATAATAAGCAATAGGAGAACCAAGCTATGTACACTTGTGTAAAAATGTAACCACAGATGTCCCTTAGAAATATAAGAAGGCAGTCACTTCACTGCAATGACTGAGGTCCCATTCAGATGTATATGTAGCACTCCTCTTCTCTGGGTGGTTGAGAATGACCCCAAGATGGTGTGACAGGCTAGCATTTAACTTCTCAGCACAGAATCCTTGGCATATTGTAGGGTAAAAGAATGTTAGGCACCAGTCACTTTAAAATTTACAGTCTTTTTGCTCAATAAACTCGGGAGAGAGAGTAGGGGCACAGGATACTCCAAATTGCAAGATAGCTCAGGTCTTCTTGTAGCAATTAATATCTTCCTCTTTAAGTAGATCCTAGGTCCTTGACCCTATGTGAGCAGTACAGGTAACTTAATTGATGACCAGTAAAAATTTCTTGAAAGGTCCACCAGTAGCTGCTTTTCTCAAGCTCTCTGGGACATTCTTCAGCACAGAAGACTTTTCCAAAAATGTTCCATTTAGGCAACCATTTTCCTGCCATGCTCCCTCTGGATGTACCCTCCAGCAGGGCAGTGAATATTCCCTAGGCCATTAGCAAAGGCCCCTAGCAGAGCCAAGCCCCAAGAGAGAGGATGACATCCTTATCAGGCAGAAGCCCAGTGATAAAAGACCCTTTTGGAAAGTTTCACCAAATATTTTTCACTGACCCTCAGCCCATACTACTGGACCAAAGCCCTCAGTGATTGGCTAGCATGGATACATTTTCATAACTTTTTATGAATAATATTCATAACATTGTTACCTCTCACACTAACCACTGAAGACAATTCAACAGCAACTTGCAAAAACAATCAATGTTCAGCACTAATGAAGCATCCCCATATATGCATTGTGTTAATGCTTGTTACCACAATGCTTATCATTTGTCCCAGTGTGGTGGGTTACAGTGCCATTCATTGTAAATGACACTGCAACACACCATGTGGTAACTGCCAACACAAGTCAGCACATAATGCAAATGCCAAGCACTGTGGTATGCTGCTTTGCAAAAAAAAGTGTTGTGTAGTGGTTAGCGCTTCTGCCTTGCAGCACTGGGGGTCCCTGTTTCGAATCCTGGCCAGGTTACTATCTGCAAGGAGTTTGCATGTTCTCCCTGTGCTTGCGTGGGTTTCCTCTGGGCACTCCAGTTTCCTCCCACACTCCAAACACATGCTGGCAGGTTAATTGGCTCCTCTCTAAGTAGATCCTCTATGTATGCATGCAGGCGAGATAGGGACCTTAGATGGTAAGCTCCTTGAGGATAGGGACTGATGTGAATGTACAACTATGTAAAGTGCTGCGTAAATTGTCGGCGCTATATAAATATTTGTAATAAATAAATAAATGTGTGTTTTGGTCCATTGCTTTGGCAGCCATTCATAGTGAACGAGCCACCTTAACGCAGGGGATGTTTATAAGTTACTTAACCTACTATATTGTACCACAACAGACCGCACAAGTGTGAATCCAGACTGATAGCTGAACTATCAATAAATATCTTCTATGAAGTCTCACAGGACATATTTATAAAGATTATAGCTGCAGCCTTAACTAAGGCATAATGATATCGCGTTCAAATATAAAGAAAGAACCGTATGGATTTCTTCTACCTGACTCAGTTCCTGTATGACTCCAGAGGGTAAAACATCAGTAGCGAGAGGTACATTCTGGGGAGTTGTTTCACTTTCATCCCTTGACTTATCTCTTGATGGAGTCCTCCAGGACAATACACATGTCTCCAGAGAAGAAAGGACATCTTGTAACTGCAAGAAAGCATCATTTTGGTGTTCTGAAAGAGAAAATGACACAAGGGTTAGGTTCACTAGTATAGAAGTGTACAGCATGTCTTAATAAGGCACATTCTTTTTTTATTTGCTTTTGCTTAAAATGCACCTTTCAGCAAATTAAAATATGGGAACCCCATGAGTTTTTTCTCTGCTACCAAGCGAGGTGACCATCCCCTCCAGTGAACTATTTTGTTCACTAGAGGGGATGGTCACCCCCTCGCAAAAACTCTAAGACTACTGGACCGTTTTCCATACAGAGAGCACCTATCTCTATAGGTTGAACTGGATGGACTTGTGTCTTTTTCCAACCTATGTAAAGCATGTGTTGTGTAGCGGGATCCACCTATTGATCCCCAGGGTGGTCGCGTGCTGGTCTGCGTGCATTTCACGTGTTTTAGCTGTGCGGCATCCATTAACTCTTTGTTGCCCTGGTTACCTTTGTAGGGGCTCAGATCCCCTGGAATACTATGAACACAGGGCTCTCAAGGTACTCACGGCCTGGGGCGGAATCTCAGCACATAGCCCCTTGATGGCGGAGCCCACCTCTGAGAGCAACCTGTGCCTGGCCTGACCAGTATTACCATGATCTCTCCCCACATACATTCCTTTACATTGATAAAGCAGCAGTCCAGCCCACCACAAGTTCGCTTCCTGGAGAACCCCCCCCCCCTTCTTAGAGGTTGGGGGAAGGAGCAGTCCACACACAGAGCCTTTTTGTAACTTTTACTTAAACATCTTCTTCCTATGTACAATCACTCATCCCATTCTCTGATGACGGCGCATTACTTGTTCAAGCACACGAGTAGTTACCAACCGATAGCAAAGATGAGGTCAGTCGAGGTATAGACCAGAGCCAGTGGAAAGGTATTTCCCAGAGTCCTGCATCGTACAGTGATGCGAGTAGTCCCATCCAGATAGTGCTGCTCCTGCCCTCATTTGCTTCCCCCCTTAGGGAAAGCTGACAGATATCCACAGCGACTACATGGTGATAGGCCTGGTCCTGTGCCTTCCCATAGACTAGCCTTGTGTAAATCACTCTAACTGTACTGTGCCTTCCTCTGGGCGGCTGCCCTGCCCAAAACTATATATCTGCTCTCCCTGGACATAGAGTTCCCTCAGGGCAGAGCTACCTTTAACTCTACAGTGACTCACTATTGCCTATGGGGACATCTAGTGTCAGATTGGCATACTGGAATACTCAAACCGGCCCACTACTCTACCCATATCTTAACTCAAAACCAAAAGTTTGTACATTGGAGCTTCCCAATCTTTAGATGTGGTGGGTGCATTCATTTTTTATTTTTTTAACCTTTTTAGGGAGTTAATCACGATGGACCTCTGCTACAGTACCCTCTTTTTAGTAATAATAGTCAAACAAATCCGTGATTTATAGTGATCCATTAAATAACATTAACAGGAACAGTAACATTTTGTATATTTATTTTGACTATTTTTCTAGGTTGCTGAGGGTTTATCAACAAGGGTTTAAAATAAAATATATTAAACTCTCCCAGCAACATATTTCTTTACATTTTTGCCCAAGCACTTAGTCATCATGTTTCTGAACAGGTAGCTCCTACTCTCTCAGCTCTGCTACCCAGAACGCCCTGTCCTGTACAAGATCACAAGGGACAGAACAGTCTCCAGCAGCTCCATCTACTAGCTTGGAGAATGGAAGAGGGAGGAGAAAGGAGGGAAGGGGAGAGGGGAGCCTTGCTGTGGCTGTGTGTTTGTGGAGAGACACACAGCTTACTAGCACACACAAGGGTGGCTCCACAGGACCCTGCAAGGGAAAGGATCCACCCTAAAACAGGATATCAGGACCAGTGCTCAGGGGATCAGCTGATTCTGCAGAAAGCTAAAACTTTTAAACGTCAAGAAGCAGCATCCATTTTAAGAAAATTAAAACAAATCTGAAATAGGCCAAAAACGTTTTTGACTGTAATATCAATTTAATTTTAGTTAGGTGACATTCCGTCTGCAACCATATATGAAATTCCATTCACTCTGTTAACTCTCTTCTATGTAAAACAATTATGCACAGGTACCTTCATTTCCAATATGTGCCCGAGGTGGCTGATGTTCATGATCTGATTGAGGAGATTCCTCCATCTCTTTTGCTATGGCTTGATTGAAATGTCCTTTAGCTTGCTGAAACAATAAGACACTTAATGAACATGATCTGGTCTCTGTTTTGTGCAAATGCTTCATGAGCACAATACAGTATGTCATATGATATTATATTTTATCATCAATTCAGTATCCGGTACTGCTGAATTCTCTATTGTGTAATACCGTATGGCTGGATTATTAAAGTTTGATCGGTTATAGATGATCAGATTTAAGAAATATAAACACAGTCATATGTCATGGCGATTGTGCAATGACAGCCCAACATGGAGCACCTGTTGGGGTGCCAAGGAGTCCTGTGTCCTATGTAAGGCTATAGACACATTCACATCATAAATGCAGCAGAGCATGCATGGAATTACATGTGATGTTAAGGTCAGCAAGGAGTGACCTTGCATGCGTGTACCCTTTCAGACCCTGTGATAAGGGAACACTTGACAGGTGTTCAAAACACAGAAAGTGTCCCCTTTTGGCACTCATGTTAAGTAGGCCATGATATCGCCAGTATAAGATTAGGAGATAGGCCACTTGACCTTGGTCCAAGGGCAGTTGAATTTAAGGGGGCTGCAGGAAACAAGCATTAGGCCCCTCTGTCGCGGGTCGTGTGTCGCTACAGCAGGACCCTTTTTGGAGCGGATTTTGCCGCGATTCAAGCTTGCTCAATGCAAGCATTTGCGCGATATCGCGCGACATGCAAATCGCGCGACAAACGTGCGATTTGCGAACCGCTCAATGGGTACGGGGCCTTAAGCGTAAATATTTCCTACCCCATTATAAATACTATGTGCTTATTTATTATGCATAAGGCACTGACCGTTGTACAGACAAAAAGATTTATGGTTCCCATCAAAGTGGCAAGACTATTGCAGTGGCCTTTTGACTTATCTAGTAAGCCCATATATGGCATCTTTTTGCACTAAATAGTTTAAGTTTATTACAAGACGTTTCACTTTCTCTCCTGTCATTGACAGAGCTCATGCCATTCAACTAATACAACTCTAATACTGATAGGTTGCATAGATTTTTATGTCGACTTGCCTCTGTATGTCCTCATTTAGTACAATGCTGCAGAACTTTAGACTCGAGATCTGCATAAGGGTCATCATACACGTTACAATCTGACCATACAATCTCTGTACGGTCTACTGAAATGATGTAATATGAAGACCTACCTAAGCTACCTAACCGATTTTTATCCAATCAGGTAGGCCCTTGCACTAGCTGGAGATCTGGACCGTTGCCCAACACGGATCGCAGTGTTGCAAATCTCTAAAGGTCCAACATGCCCCTTCACAGTGCTCCAGTCCTCTGTTCACATGCTCACTGATTTAAATACTGTGCACTCTATGTTGCGTGGTAGTCCAGATTTCCTGCGTGCCGCTAGGAAAAGAGAATTTTAAAGCAGAACTCCATGCTAACAACAAAATCCACAGAGGAAATGCATTAGGGACGGACCGATACCGGATTTCGGTATCAAGTACTCGCCGATACCAAATACCGATACCAAATACCGATACCAGCATCCCAAGGTACCATGGGCCTGGCTAATCAGGAAGCCTTCTATCGAAAGAACACCATCATCATACTCCCTAGTGATACTGCAAGGCAGCCTGGCTTCCTGACTGATCAGGAAGCCGGGAGGCGGGTCATGACATGCTGCCTGGCTTCCTGATTGGTCTGGAAACCGGCTCCATTCTCCCTCACGGAACTGCCCCCGGTATCAGGGTAAATATCGGAGCATTTAGTCGAGTATGAGTACTTGTCCAAATACTCGGTATCAGCACCGATACCGAATACTAATATTGGTATCGGGGCATCACTATACATATATAGGAGCTATTTTACCTGCCAAAGTCTTTGTATTTCTGTCCGTTCCCTCCTGATAGTTGCACAGCTTTGCCACTCAGCCCAGCCCTGTATGGCCCTGTATGGCAGGGCAGGAGACCTAATTTTTCTTTGCTGCGGTCCAGATGCAAATACATGTCTTGTCTTTTCCACAGCCTGTGACTGGACAGAGAAAGGAGAAGTAGCAGACTGATGAGCTCATCTCTCTGTTCTCTCCTCCTTTTAACATGCCTGGCACTGCTGCACAACTAATTTAGATCTAGAAGTTTGTAAACTTACTTACTGAAGATGCACATAGGGTGTATTTCCTCTATGCACTGGCACAACTCAACATCTGAACTTCCCACAATGTAACATTATCATTGCTTGCTGGAAGCAGTGCATATGGCATATGTAGTTTTGAGAAATTGAGATTGCATCACATCAAGCAGCAGGGAAAGAGATGTAAAGCGCACTGGGAATCCAGGACGTTGATGAAAGTGATGGGCAGACAGAAGGCAGCACTCACTACATAAAAATTATTTTTTTCAAGTAAGCTTTGATTGCATTATGAAAAACAACTCTAGTATGGATAGCTATTACAACACTGATGTCTTATATTTTTTTTAATCTATTTATAGTCTTGTATCCCTGCATGTTATAATTTGTGGCCGTTTTTTTTTTTTTTCTTAAATACCCTATAATATTTTCTCTGCTTATTGTCTTTCTCCCCAGTGCTCTATGCTGGCATAGGCACAGCCTCACTCTTCACACACATTTGTATTACAGAGGAAGAGGGGGGTATGTCAGGCCATTTCTGTTACTGTTATCTGATTACTGATTTCATTAGAATTTCTTATGAATCATCCAAAATTCTAACAGTGGATGCCCCTACAGGCTGGACAAAAGTCCATAACTCAATCAACTTTGTTAAAGAAGCCAGGCCAAAAATTGTTGCCTGTACAGTGACTGCAGTCAATCAACTGCGGTCACCATTCAGATATACTGATAGCGGCAGGCGCAGACTGTGAGAATACAATAGCCCAGTTGGAAAGGGGGGGGGGAGTCCAGGGATCTGTTTGTTTGGTTCAGCCTGTAAGCTTTACTCTTGTATCTATTGGACTGCACAGTTATATTTAGACACACTGCACAACCCCTGCAACAGGAAAGTGGAGGTAAGACTGAGAATAGAGATTGTCAGTGCAATGCCTATTTCTGTGACTTTAAGGTCTCTTTGCGACAGCAATGTATTATGTCAGACCCAATTATAGTAGTTCAGCTATATGTAAAACTCTATAAGGAAAGTAAACTAAACTTTTAAAGATTACATAAGGGGTAGGCAACCTTGGCACTGCAGCTGTGCTGAAATGACAAATCTCCTCATGCCTCTGCCCCTGGGAGTCATGCCTGAGAGTTTTGCAATGCCTCATGGGACTTGTAGTTCCACCACAGCTGGAGTGTCGAAGTTGCCTACCCCTGGATTATATCATGAAACACTTTTTAAAATTCTCCTATAACATTTTACTAAGAACTATTACATTACAGTAAACAATAATCACTACAGAGACAGCTGGCATTAGGCATAGCAATACATACATCAGCATGCAGGCTTGAACTTACCTCTCATGTTTAAGTCGACCATTGTGTCCACCAGTCCACAAGTGACTGGGAACAAGGGAAGGAAACAGGACGTGATCTGGAGACGCGGACATTCCTCTACTAGGAAGGGGTTTCCTGAGGATGGAGGTCAATGTGAAGTTTCAGTACAGACACCCTTAAAAATACACAGTGATACTCTTTATTGTCTAAATATGTCGTTTAAAATGGCAGGCTTTCCAGTTAGCTCACGTCTCTTCCTCCATCTGTTTTCAAAGCTTGTAGTTAAAGTGGAACTATGAACAAAATGTTTTTAAAAATGGCATACAGTACATGCTGCAGTGTTGTCACCCTGTGGGCAAGGTAGCCTTTGATTGACTTTTATTGCAGAAGAGACACAATCGGGTTTATTTATAAACAATTTGCAGAGCCAATCGCCCTGCAGAACTGGAAGTACACTCCCTTCTGTACGACTGTAGTCAAAAACAAATACTATTGGTATATTTTCTTTCCAAGTCCAATGTAATATCAGGAAAATACCACATTAGTTCCTCATTCACACCGGAGCAACACAAAATAAGTGCATTTTCAGCGCGATTTTGATGCGTGGCATGTTTTTTGCCATTTTATCACGCAGGCTTTGCAGCTGCTACTATGGGAGATATCTAATGGAAAACGTCCTTGATGTGACATCAATTCCTGTTCCTGTTTCCTGCTTCTGTGTAGAGTGTTCCTAGAGTTTTATTAGCTAGCTCTGCGCTGAGAATATGATTGATCTACTTACTGCAGCTTGCGCTGTATGGCAATGGCCGCTGTCACCACAGTGCTGCTTATAGAGCTGGAGGGGGAGAAGAGAAAGCAGAGACATAGGTTCTGGGTCCACGTAGTGATTGATAATCGAGATGGATGTGGCCAATTCTGGGCCATGTATAATCATCTGTGTGAGCACGAGGAGAAGTTTTTTGACTACATGCGAATGTTCATTAAAACGTGAGTTCATATGGTCAGATTAATGTGAGGCAAGTGTCAATTAGGGATGAGCCGAACACCCCCCTGTTCGGTTCGTATTCGAACCGCCGAAATGTTAGAGTACGAACTCGAACTCAATGCAAGTGTATGGGGGTCGAATGTTCGACCCCCATACAGCTGCCGGTACATGTGGCTGCAGCGGCCTGTGTCCCTTCAAATCCCCGCTGTTCTCCCCCGTCTGTGTTGGCGGAGGTAGCGGGGACACAGACCGCTGCATTGCTCCACTGCCCCCATACCTCTGCTGCTGTCTTCCCCTGGTCCGTCGGCTTCTCCATTCCCCCCGTCGCATGTGGTCAGGTGCAAGACTTTAACAAATCAGAGCTTCAGTGGGCATTTTGTATTATGGAATGTCCGCGGTCGAACACACCACGAACATCCCATAAAGTTCCCATAAAGTTCGGCGTTTGGCGAGCGCTCGAACTGCCCATCCCTAGTGACAATCCTTGGAATTTCTCCCAAATGGAACAGATGAAATCTGAAGAAGCTGCCCATAGCAAGCAATCAGCTGTTTGTTGGACATGGCAGGTTCTGTCTCTTTAATTTAGCAGAAATTCTACCCATGTTATCTGCTTCAATTAAAAACTTTAATTCTTTACATGTGACACTTGCACAAAAACATGCAATATCAAGCTAAAATGCTTGAAATGCGCAATTTTGTGCTACACCATTCTAGTCTATGGGGCTAAGAAGCTCTGAATCTGCCAAAAAGTAGTTCATGTACTTGCTACAAGCGACAGGCGTTTTGCTACGGCCGACCTGACGCTTAAATGTGAACAGTACCATTGAAATGAATGGGAGTTTCTTTGGGGCGACTTATATCAGTGTTTTTGTGAGCAGAAAACGTGCTCCAAAATGCTCAGTGTGAATGAGGGCTCAAGGCTTCTAGATGGAGCTAAGGAGCATAAGAAAAAAAATACTTATTTCCTATGCTTCTCAGTATTCAACTACAGTATTCACCATGCAATGGGAATTAGTGTATTCAAAGAGCATGAATGTGGTTGGGATTTCAGCAGGCGTGAACAGGTGGGTGTGACAGACCTGGAGTCTCAACTTATGTCATGGTGGACAGGAGGCATCAGGATTCTCTGGGTCTGTTAGTCAAGGTATTATGTCATGGCGGGCAGGACGCATCAGGAGTCTCCTGGTCCCTCAGTCAAAGAATTATGTCATGGTGGGCATGATGCATCAGGAGTCTCCTGGTCTGTCAATCAAGGTATTATGTCATGGTGGGCAGGACACATGAGGAGTCTTCTGGTCTGTCAGTCAAGGTATTATGTCATAGAGGGCAGGACACATGAGGAGTCTCCTGGTCTGTCAGTCAAGGTATTATGTCATGGTGGGCAGGACACATGAGGAGTCTCCTGGTCTGTCAGTCAAGGTATTATGTCATAGTAGGCAGGACACATGAGGAGTCTCCTGGTCTGTCAGTCAAGGTATTATGTCATGGTGGGCAGGACAGATCAGGAGTCTCCCGGTCTGTCTGTCAAGGTATTATGTCATAGCGGGCAAGACACATCAGGAGTCTTCTGGTCTGTCACTCAGGGTATTATGTCATGGTAGGCAGGACAAATCAGGAGTCTTCTGGCTGTCAAATTAAACTGCCCTCCACTACGAAGTCGGAGACCTTTAAAAGCTGTCCATCAAAAATAAATTATTATTAAGAAAGAGTGGGAATACCTCACTATTCAACATCCACAAATACCAGTGATTGAGCCATGCTGCAACCAGTGATTGCAGCATGGCTCATTTGCAGTGTGTTTGACACTGTTTGTTCCTCCTCCTATGACCAATAGATAGAGTACTTGAATGTATTGTAGTGTCACTTTAAGGTACTAGTACTTCCACTTAATGCATCTAATGACATTCTTATTCGGTGCATATTATAGCAGTGTTGTCCTGTTGTAAAATACTCCTGAGTTTAGTGCCACTTTAACCCCTTCGTGATGGGTGATGTACACTGTACGTCCCGCCACGGAGTGCCCAAATGACTGGCCACGTACACTGTGCGTGACCAATTATTTGCGGCTCTACAATGCTGGTAACTGCTGCGAATCAGCGGTTACCATTCATTAATGGATGCCTCAGTATTGAAAGAGATAACCTTTTTCAGACACCCGATCCCTTTCAGGAATCGGGTGTCTGAGAGTGAGAGCAGAGCCGCATTTGCAGCTCTTGCTGTCACTCTGACAGTGGTATAGATCGGGAAATCCCGATGTATACCGGCTTTTTTTTTTTTTTTTACATTTCAGCAATAGAAACATAATGTTTCTATTCCTGAAACAATGTTGCAGTTTTCTGATCGTTGTTGGAACGATCTAGAAACCTTTAGTGAAACCTTAAGTTTGAAGCAGCCTAATAATAACCAAAAATAAATTCATGAATTTATCAAGCAGTAATAGTGAGATTAATTCACAATGACCGCTTGATATAATTAAATAAAAAACATTTAACTGTAAAAAATGTTTAAAAAAATTGTGAAAAGTGTAAAAAAAAATAAAATAAAATAAAGTGTAAAAAATAAATGTAACAAATAAAAATGATATATTTAAATATATTTTTATATTATAATTTATATAAAAATTAACCCCTTACAATTAAAATCTGCAGCTGATCTGCAGATTTTTTTTTACCCTAAGGGGTTAAAAAACATTTTTTAACCCCCTCATGACAGTGATGTTCAAAGTATGTCGCTGTCACTAAGTGTTACACCATATCAAAACTGGGGAAAAGGTGCTTTCTTTAAGTTTTTTTCCTCATTTTTTATATGTTATTTGTCCTAAGTGAGGTACACATATGTGATATAAATATGTAGCCCTATCTGTCCTCTACAAAACAATATATAATATGTGTGGGTGCACTTTGTAAGAAAGTATATTACTGCCGGGGAAGAATCACACAGCAAGAATGTCAAAAGTGCGTCAGTCATTAACAGAAACTAAAAACAAGTGCAGTCGTGAAGGGGTTAAGTTAACACTCTGAAATGCCTATCTCTGCTTATTGCTTTTAAATGCAGCTTCAAAAATTTAAAAAACTTATTTTTTTTTTTAAATTGCTACACTAGAAGATTTTTTTTAACAGTTTAGAACTACAAGTGATTCCTTTTCTGGAGTATAATATGAACATGCAGGGGAGCTAGACACGAGACTTGGCTGCTATTATCCAGACTGAGGCTTGGCTTTCAGTATTCACATTGAGGCTTGGCTTTCAGTATTCACATTGAGACTTGGCTTTCAGTATTCACATTGAGGCTTGGCTTTCAGTATTCACATTGAGGCTTGGCTTTCAGTATTCACATTGAGGCTTGGCTTTCAGTATTCACATTGAGGCTTGGCTTTCAGTATTCACATTGAGGCTTGGCTTCTGCAGAGGACTGGAGGGTGGAGAAGATAGAGTGTGAAGCTGGAAAGGGTGATGAACCTGCTTGTTCTTTTTCCCTGTCTCGGTGCAGTGACAGAAAGAGGAATAATATAACCAAAGAGGTACTGTGTTCACTATACTATTCTAAGCTGTGACTGGTATATTGCCTGCATCAGGTGTACGTGATGTGTTTAGGTCAAGTGTATCTTACTCAACTTTTCCTTTATTTGAGTTTTGTATAGAATGGGGAAAGGATAAAATCTCTGCAAGTTTTTACTGCTCTCCGGCCTCTGTTAGAGAGATTTGCCCTCACTTTCTGTTGTGAGGATGACATTTCATCAGACACGAAGTGAGGGTAAGTCTACACCAGGAAAATAAAGACATCAAGGAGTCTGAAGATGCCCATACACTGCACGATTATCGTACGATAATCGTATGCGATCGGGTTTTCGTACGATAATCGAGCAGTGTGAACGGAGACGTGCGACCGTTTCTACTGTACGGTCGCACGTCTTTTGTCGAACCAGCATGTTCGAAAACCAGCCGGGAATCGTACGATTCTCGGCTGGTTAGAACGGTGCTCGGAAGATAAATGCTGAACGGGCCGGTGTGCGCACGCGCACACTGCCCGTTCAGCATTGCGGTCATCGGAAGCCCGCCCCTCAGGAGGGCGGGCTTGCGATGATCGAGAGTGCGATCTGCCTGTCCAAGATAGGCAGATCGTACGTTTTTTTAATCCCTTTACAACCATCGCAAGACTAAAGTCTTGCGATGGTTGTAGAGTGTATGGCCACCTTTACACACACCATAACAGTGAACACCCCAGCATATTTCTCTGGCCAGGAGTGATAGGCGTATCATACAGCAACATATAGCCAGCCTGTACACATCAATAACAGGCTGGCTGAGGCTGTATAGGTACCTCTGCACAGCATAGCATAAACAGCTGTACTGTCTGTGTTGCTGCTAGAGAGTTACCCCTCATTTCCTTTTACCCCCTCATTTCCTTTTACCCCCTCATTTCCTTTTACCCCCTCATTTCCTTTTACCCCCTCATTTCCTTTACTACCAGGCAGGAAGTGAGCCTATGATAGCTGTAAAACCTGACAGGAGTTGTAATCTTCCTCCCTCATTCTTCCTCACTCTATCTAAAACTAAAACGTATACACGTTTTTGGTTATAGATACACTTTAAGACAAAGGTGAGCATCTCCGGCCAACCAGCTGTTGTAGAACTACAAGTGCCACGCGGCTTTGCAAGACTGACAGTTACAGGCATTACTCCCATTAGCATGTTGGGATTTGTATTTAATTTACAGCTGGGGGCCAGAGATGCCCGCACTTGCTTTAAGAGCTTAATGACACGGGCGTGAGTGACAGTTGTTGCTTACATCACACTGTCTGCATCCAAGGCTGTTTATCAATCACTGTGTGGATGTTAATATTCAAATGTACAGGCACATCCACAGCCTGTCATTGATTTGCACACAGCATCTGCCATTCCCGCGAGTAGAAGTATCGGCCATTTTCAATGGTGCATAGTCAATCACACCTCTGTGAATGAGCCCTAAGAGTTAAAGCTGGCTCCTGACTCTGATTCTATTTATCATTTACATATGCATACTTATATTAGGCAAATAAAGGAAACACAGTGAGAGACATAAACAGCAGTGAGCAAGCGTGGTTCATCTTCCATAGGATTCATTAGCGAAATCCTTGATCAACGATTTCAAACTGGCAAATGTTTAACTTAAAGTTCATCTAAAGCCAAACTTTTTAAATTTTGGATAGAGTAAGGAAGGGTTAAAACCCTTGTCAGTGTTTTTTACATCTGTGTCCCTAAGTCCCCGTTCACACCACAGGCGTTTGTCGCGTGTATTTGTCAGCACTGAAAAGCTCAACACAAGCCTGTAGCTGGAAAAAAAAGCACATG